ATCCATTTATAAACAAACTACAGGTTCAAAACTTAGTGTTGTTACACATTTAATAAAAGTATTTACAATAAAATTTATAAAAAACATAAAATGAAAATATTCTGATCAATAACTTTCTCATATAAAACTGGTAATCATGTAATGTAGTGGTGTTCAAACCATGGTCCCAAGCGAAATCCAAGACCACGAACATATGACATATATGTTCGTGGTTTTGGATATTGCTTAGAACATGGGTTCCCAACCTATGGGTCGTGACCCAGAAGGGGGTCGCAACGGGTTTTCTGTGGGGTCGCCAACTTATACAGTCAACTAAAAAAAAGTATTCACTATAATGTAATTTTTATTTTTAATGGTGTCTTGAAGTTTGAATAATTTCATATATTTTTTAAAAATCAAAATAAGAGTAATCTAGGTATGCTATTCTGTCACAGTTGGTTGAAACATGTTGAGAGTTTGAAAGGAATAAATTAAATGTTGAGAATGACATGAGATTGTCGTTAAAAAAAACTCATTCGCGAATTTTGAGGCTGGTTAATAACGTGAAATTTCAACCATCACATTAAATTAATTATTAAACATAATTTAAAATAAAATTATACTAAAAAAAACTAATTTAGTTGTTTTTTAATTGCCTTATTAAAAATGCCTTTTTCAATTGTATCGTGGTCATGGGTCACTTGACTTTTATAAAAAGGGGTCGCCACCCAAAAAAGGTTGGGAATCGTTGGCTTAGAACATATGACATATACGTTTGTGGTCTTGGATATTGCTTAGGGACTATTCAGTTATTACGTCAATAGTTTATGGGGGGGAGATTGTATCTGGCAATTGCTGATAATTGGGAGGGAAGGTGACTCTTTAATAATGTAAGATTGCATCCATGATTTATTTTTCTCCCACCATCACAAAATTGTNAAAAAAAACTAATTTAGTTGTTTTTTAATTGCCTTATTAAAAATGCCTTTTTCAATTGTATCGTGGTCATGGGTCACTTGACTTTTATAAAAAGGGGTCGCCACCCAAAAAAGGTTGGGAATCGTTGGCTTAGAACATATGACATATATGTTTGTGGTTTTGGATATCGCTTAGGGTCTATTCAGTTATTACATCAATAGTTTATGGGAAGGGAGATTGTTTATATCTGGCAATTGCTGATAATTGGGAGGGAAGGTGACTCTTTAATAATGTAAGATTGCATCCATGATTTATTTTTCTCCCACCATCACAAAATTGTCTGAAAATAATCCTGTATATTTGGAAATTGCTTAAATATCTGGCCTGATGATATAATTAGGGAAGGATAAATCTAATATGTCATCTATTATCATCATCAAGCCATGTGCAATCTTTAAATATTTGAAATCGCAACCTGTCAAAACTAATTCAATATTTTATCATTATGTTAATCTATAAATAAAAATAAAGATTTTATTCCAATTTATAAATCATGAAACAAAAATTTTAGTCAATAAAATTTGAATCTAGCATTATTTTTGCTATCTTTCCATTACATCTTTCCATTACATAACTAATAGCAATGGTAAACAAAAAATGTTTCAAACTTTATATAAAACTTTAATCTTCTTGTTTAAATTAAGTTAAAGAAATGGTACTTTAATTTTAAAATTATTATAAATAATCTGGATTTCAAAAAATAAATTCACATTTAAAAATTTTTTTGTATTACATGATGAGAATAACTTTATGCAATTTCAAATTTTACAGTGAGGAAACAATTCTTTTAAGCACCAACAAATAAGCTATTTGTGTGACCAAATACTTTTTTAGATATACATAATATCAATGTTAAACATTTTTCTAAGAAATTTCAAGCCCATTTAAAGATTAGAAGATATATGGCAGTAAACACAATAATAAGTAATAGTAAGCTAATGATTTAGTTTGTATAATTAAAGGAGGAGTTGTAATTAAATATATATTTCAGTCTCATAACTATTTTTAATAGATAGCATCATTAAAATATAAAGTTGAAAATTCAAAATAAAAAATATTAAACAAGATTTGAATTGATACTTGCAAAATGCCAAAAATATAAGAATTACAAAAAACTTTTACGATATAAACGTTAAATTAAACACGTATGTCACTAAATTGACAAGCGCTTTCGACGATACACACTTTCGTCTTCTTCAGGTCATTAGAAGATATAAGAAATTTAGTGACATACGTGTTTAATTTAACACTTATATCGTAAAAGTTTTTTGTAATAAATGATTAGCGTGCTGTCCATCACTATATTATAAATATAAGAATGTTTACTCTCTCTAAAGATTACGGTAAACAAACACTATTCCATGCCAAATACAACACAACATTACAATCTCACATGAATATCCTTTTNTAAAACTTTAATCTTCTTGTTTAAATTAAGTTAAAGAAATGGTACTTTAATTTTAAAATTATTATAAATAATCTGGATTTCAAAAAATAAATTCACATTTAAAAATTTTTTTGTATTACGTGATGAGAATAACTTTATGCAATTTCAAATTTTACAGTGAGGAAACAATTCTTTTAAGCACCAACAAATAAGCTATTTGTGTGACCAAATACTTTTTTAGATATACATAATATCAATGTTAAACATTTTTCTAAGAAATTTCAAGTATCGTGGTTTATCTTCAAACAAAATTTTTTTAACATTCTAAAAATCTTCATAAAATATGAATTTAAATGAACACAGAGAGAACTAATATTTTAAAGCTTTCTAAACTGTTTCCAGAAGCATTCCATTTTATTAATGTGAATATTTACATGAACAAAATTCAAAATAAAAAATATTAAACAAGATTTGAATTGATACTTGCAAAATGCCAAAAATATAAGAATGTTTACTCTCTCTAAAGATTAAGGTAAACAAACACTATTCCATGCCAAATACAACACAACATTACAATCTCACATGAATATCCTTTTACTGATACAGTATGTCTCTGGCATTCTGACTGGGACATAAGGGACAATGAACTCAATGGCACCATGAACTGTGTTCAATTCATAATCATTCTGTGAACAGATTCTTAAGAATCAACTGGAAAATTTCTGTAAACATTTGAAAAATTGAGTATTAAACTTGTTAACTAGAAACTCTTTTACTCAAAATCAGGACTTTTTCTCAAACTTAAATGAGATTTTACTGTGTATAACAAAAGTAGTGTTTACATCCAAATCATCTTGACAATATGAAAAATTACTCTCAATGAGCAATTATTTTTTGTGACATTGTCACAATGCCAGGCTGCAATTTTTTGTCACACTGCTCTCAATTTTAGTAGTGTCTTGTCCCCTGTACATCATACTTTTCCTGTTAAGAACGGAGTCATGCCAGTCATCTAACTTTGTTCTGGAAAAATTTTTTAAATTGAAATAAAGTAATTTCCAGTCCAAACTGGAAGTTCATATATAGTTAATTGGGTCCTACTGATCCTAAAGTTTCTACATCTGATCTCAAATTTCATCTATCTAACTCCATTCTCAAGATTCTTCAATTTGTCCTTCTTATAGTTCAGTCGGGGAAACGCTCGCTCAACCCTATTTACATACTTACTCATTAACACTTTATTCAGTCTTGTAATTCAAATGTCGCCAGTTCAAACCTCACCCGGAACACCAAGACAACACAAATTAACTAAACCAATTATTAGAACAAATTAATTAGTAGCTTAATTTGTAAGTTCACAATTGTCGGGAAAGTTTTGTATATACCATATATCTGCACAGACAAGACAATAGTCAAATCATAAAAAAAGACCCCCAAAATTGGGGTCGTCTTATAGGACATACAAAAAAAATTTTATTGAAATTTATATAAATTAAAACCATTATAAAAAACCAACAAAATCATAATTATTTACCGGTAGAGAATAGGATACGTCCACAAAATAGAATAGCCCATACGACGTTTTTGTGAATAGTCAAGGTCATTACACAAATGCCTGAATAAGTGTGAATGTTTGCAACAATCGCAAGGCAGTGCTGTCATATGCAAAAAAATAAAATCTGAAGTTATTTCAAAAATTACAAATAGGACATAATTCCGTATACGCTATGCAGTGTTATTATCCAGATGATGATTGCTAATCTAAACAAAATTCATAGGCCATTGATAGTTTGGGGGTCATCTTATAGGAAAGATATATGCTAAAACTATAAAACTTCGACAAAAATTTATACCTCATCTTATCTGCGCCAATATACAGTATTTGTTTTGGATTTTTGATAAATTATTGTTATTTGCTAACGTTATTTCTCGACCATACAAATTCGGGCTTTTACTAATACATAGATTTTTTTGCATTACATATACTAATTATTTCTGGTTTTGACATTAATAACAATTTACATTTATTTTATCGCCCACACAAAGTCCACCTTTTCAAACCATTCGTTTACATAACGCAACATTAGAATATTACCCGGGCTTTTGATTCGATAGATAAGAGAAGACAACACAGAGGTACCGGTCCTTTGATATTTTTGCTCCCTCGGGTAGTACACTCTACGGCTGTGGTAAGGTCTCATTCGGTAGTGTAATCATATCCATAAATGTATACAATTTACTGTAAGAGCAGTTTCTTGTGTTTTATTTAAACTTTTATCGTTTTTCTTTCAGTTGTGGGCTACATCTTCTAGTATAACTTAATTCAGCCAACATAAATTGCATCTGGAAGAATGAATTAAGGCGCCGAAATAAGCTAACATGTAACCAAATTAAAGAAAAAAGGTATAAGATATCACATATTATAGAATCTTATACGCAGATTACGGAACGTATCAAAGACCAAAAGAAAAAATAATAATTTGGAAGAAAATTGCGCATTAATATAGCGATCCTCTCATATCGAAATATGTCCGACTTATAACCCTTTAACGTACGTCCATCAATATTGAAAATATGTAAAAATATAATTAAAAAATAATAATGACAGATTGAAATAACATACAACGCAACGTTATTTAACATTATCGCGACTTACTTTGATCGTTACTGGCATCTTTTTCAACGTTTAAAATCTCGTATAGATTCTTCGTCTGAAAATAAGTTTGACAATCTGACATCAGGCCCATATTTCTGCGGTGGGATGAAACGAAAAGCAAAACTTTCAAAACACACCAAACTTCTCCTTTCAAGTGCGCGCTAATATGGCGCTGATGTGAGACAGTGTTGCCAGATCTACAAAAATTATTATTATTTTTTTTTTTACATCCATTTAAAAAAATCCGTATACGTTTTGAATGACAGTTTTTACTTTAATTTTCGAAAGAAATGACGACAAATTTAATTTTTAAAATAGTTTGAGGTGTTCGTTTTTGTCTGCGAGAAGTAAAATCGATATATGAGTGGTTAAATAGATAAGTTATTTTGTTATATTTTAAAAAATAATCGTGATAATACAAATCACCTTGCCTGTGTCAGAGGATGCTTATTTGAATATTGAGCCTGAGAACGGATTGTAACAATTACTTTTTAAAAATAAACTTTTTGAATTATTCAGTTATAATAAATTTTTAAAATGTAATTTTTTTTAAATAAAATTTTCAAATTGTAATAACATTTTAAAAAGGATTTTTTTTTAAATATAAGTTTTGGCTTATTTTATAAAATCGTTAAATACTGTAGACTCAATTAAATTTTGCAATTGTCTGAGTATCTAATTCTTGATTATTCGGTCTAAATCTATTACATTCTAACTCTTAAACTTAGTAAAATGATTTTTAATTTATTTAAATGTAAGAGAAAATTGAAAAGTTACTTCAAATTCTACATTTATTATCTATAGCAACATTCATATATTCAAATATTGTACTTTACTCAAAGTTTAATCAATTTTTTTAGGACTAATTAGATTTATCAACTATTATATATGTTAACAATTGGAAGAAATTAGCCTATATATTTTATTTTTGAATCATACATTTTATTTCAAATTTTCTACAATAATTGTTTCACGAGACCTAAGTAATTAAGAATAAATTTCGCCCCAGCTACTTAATTCTTCTAGAAAATTGAAATCGCATACTAAAGACAGACTGTATAGTAAATTTGATTCAGATTTATCCAATAGTCCTTCTTACAGAGTTTTTAACATTTACTTTTTTAATTGTGCTCACCCTGTATTAAGAAGCAATAATTGCAAGTGATGTCATTTAATTAGAAAATAGAGAATACTTAAGATAATGAAATAGAGCATTTAGTGTATTAAGTTAAAAAATCATTTTCCCAAATTTCACACACACACACATTAAAATCCATGCGTATAGAAAAACATCCAATTTGTTTTGCATTTCTCGTTTCATGCTCCCTGAATACAAAAATGTAAAGTCTTAGAGGGTCATTCTTTAACCAATGGCCATACTTTTCATCTGTTATATATAACAGCCAGGAAAGTAACAGCACTGTTATCACTGTTAATCGTTTAGTTTTAATGCTATTTTAATATTTTATAACGCTGGAGTGACAATTTGAAAGAATGTTTTATTTTTTTTAATGATAAAAACAAGCTTCATTTATAACCTATGCTATTCCATCAGTTAATTTCATTTAGTACATGTTTATAAATGAAATATGTGAATATAAGGCGCTTGCATCTGTTATTACTAAATACAGAACGTCCTCAATATAATGTCATAGTTAATTTAGTGAACGTCTCTTCAATCCGAAAAAATCTTTCCGGTAGACTACCTCACAGCCAATTCAGGTTATAAACTCCTTTTATTGTTTTTTTACAGATGCATTTAGAGCTAGATTAATTTACTAGCTCCTCCTCAGTGCTTAAGAGTTCCATGAGTTTCATATGATCTAATTTTCACACTTATACGGTACTTTTAGTCCCGTTTACAATATTTTTACCATCTTATAAAATTGCTCAAAGGGCTTGTATCGTGTATTGTAAAAATGGCACTGGTTGCTACTGATTTCACTAAATCAACATATAAAACAGCTAAACCATCGGAAATTCAGAACAATGTCATAGTTAAATTCCTGAAAACCGTCGTGTATAACATAAAAGTATAGGCCTATATCAAATATCAACTTATCATTATATAAGAGATACGGTATATTCCAGACCAAAGAAAAACTAATTTATACGGAAATGTTTAGTGTACTGCATAATAGCAAAATGTTTATATAGAAATATCAATACTTGTTATACTTTCAAGGCCTAAACAGAACAAGGTAAAGGTTGGATGTTTGAAGCGGTTAAGGCTTTAGATTGCCGCTCTGGAATCGAATTACGGCTGTTGAAAACACCAAAGAATTTTTCCTGGGCTTTAATGTTCTCAACTCTCATTTTTTATCACATAATTATCTACGTTACGAATATGGCGGAACCCACCATAGGTAAGATTAATTAAAAAAGTCGGACTGAGAAGAATTTTTAAAAAATGCTATAGTGCGTGTACGATGCAATATATGATAAACACGAAAATTTTCACTGATCTCACGGAAGAGTTAACAACACTGAAATAGATAGAAGCGACATTTGTACCACAATTTTTTGTCACAGTAAATTTTCAAGAATTTCTTTTAAATATAATTCTTACTTGTAAAAAAATTTATCAAGCAGCAATTATTAAGGCGAATGTCTGAAATTCTATTTATGTTATGCAAATTGTAATTACCAGAGCCCCTTCGGCCGCCAATTTAAAGTGTTTTAATCTTTAAAATTGGCGTTTCCACTTCCCGGGACGAGGACCCAGGGGTTGGATTTGTGGGAAGCGAGTTGTTTCATTGTGTCGAATTACATAGAACGAGGCGCTTGAAGTGTAAGTGCGTGAGTGCGAGAATTCGAGTAAAGGTTAAACGGTGTATATCTTCGTGTACAGTGATGTTATGTCCGTGTGTGTGTGTGTGTGTGTGTGTGTGATCGAAGAACATCTTCGGCACGTCTGTAAACAAAAAACAGTAAATTACGATACGAGAATAAGATGTGTTAAAAACTGAAACGAAAGAGTTCTTACCATCGAAAAATATTCACTTGTACGATAAATGGCCACTTGGTCCTCTTCGTGGTAAAGTTGGGGAGGGAGAATTTTCTCCCTCCCAAATGTTCCTACAAAACACAAAGGCAGTGAGAAAACGAGAAGTTTATTCATTTATTACCTAAGGTCAAGATTATTACCTTTATCAGACAGTCTTTCTTCCCGAACAGTGTTACGAGAAGAGCGAAGTACCTGACCTACCCTAACCGGAAGCTCATTCCTCATAACAGCTGTTTGGGAAGAAAGGTCGGCCGGATGTTGCGTCCGGTGAAGAAACGTGTCAAGTCCGTGGGTCACGTCCGGGTAAGAGAGGTCACGTCCGTTAAAAGGTGTCATGTCCGGGTGAAAAGCGTCGAATCCGATAAGAAAGTCGCATCCGGGTGAAGAAGAGGAAATCGAAGAGAATCACCGCCTAGGCCAAGGGAACCGCAGCCGTCCGCAGCAACAAAACCACGGACAGCACGGTCCCTCGACTTCGGCGGCTCTCTCCTCCGACTCCTCCCCTTTCCGACTTCGGCAAGGCGGTGCCGTCGCCGTCGCGGACGAACGGGAAGAACCCGACCAACCAGAAAATGTCAGATCGGACGAGCCTTCACTTTCAACATCCTCCACAGCAAGGTCTATGGCCGGATGACCCCCGAAGACCACGGCCAAGCGCACTGGACCCAGGGTGTAGCGTCGCATCATCCCGACTCCGGGAGGATGCCATGCCACGCGCACTTTGCGAAGGCCTTCTTCACCCGCTGCCTCTCGCTCGTCGAGCCCCCGCTCCTCGAACGGCACGGAACGACAGACTCGTTCCGCGTCGTCCGAAAAACCCCCTCCTTCCGGCGCCACCGCCTGCCTCCGCCGGAACCGCCTCCAACCAGCACCAACGTCTTCATTCTGTAAAAAAGAAAATTTGCAATTAGTCCAGTGAAAACAAAAGCTTAAATTAATGCTTAAATCCAAGAAGTAAAAGCAAAATGCTCACCGCAGCCGCCTTTTTAAATCTAAAAGATTCGATTCGAATCGGAAGCGCAAACGGTCGACCATCGAACGATGTCTTCTGGGACCGATTCTCCAAGTAATATTAAATAAATTCTTACGTCTAGGGTCAATATGGACTAAGACTTACCTGAAAAATCTTCAATCTTCTTTGGAAAAGTCCGCAAACCGCAAAGAACAGCACGCAATCCAAGAGCAGAAGAAACGCACGTCCGACCACAACGAGAAGCACAATCTAACTGCGATTCGTCATGTGTGACGTATTTCGAACAAACGTTAAAAAAACGCGTCAACAATGTTCGAATTTCGTAAAAATTCGAATCTTTAAAAAAATCAATTAAAAAAAATTTTTTTAATTAATTTATAATTATTATTATTTTTTTAAATTTTGCTTCAATCATTTGATAAATAAATTATCTTCTGCATTTACATGGTGCAGAATGTCCGCCGTGGAGAGGTAAAAGACGATCTTTTTAAATTCTAAGTCTCGAGGCTTGACCATCTCGGAAATTCGTTCGAATAAATATCTTTTTCGTCCATTTTCGACCATGGCATGAAATAAATCAAATTCTTGGGATTTCGCCCAATATTATTTCGCTTTTCGGAATGATTCTTCGTTCGCCGTTGGAGTTGCACGTTTCGCGTATTTATGCAACATCAAACTGGATGAACTTAATATTAAAAACTCAAAAATCTTTATACCTGTCATTTAATTTTGGACAAATAAACCTTCTTGACCAGCTGAGCTATCGTCGGGTTCGAAGACATTCGGTTGTCTAGAATATCAGTTGAGAATTATTCCAACCTATTTTATTCAATTAAAATACAATCCAAGCCGGAATTACTCTAGTACTTATCAATAATTCTGTACGATTAATCATTTAGAGAATAATTTGATCTGGCTAGCTGGTTCCTTACTTCGTAATTTACACAAATCAGAAAACTTTTTAATATATCAAACTATTGGTAAACGATACGGAATTTTACCAGCCGTTAATGCATCCGGTCCGTATAATATATTTCAAACAAATCAATTTAGAATCATTGCTACTAACAGACATGAACCATGGGAAATTTAATGTTAACTGATTTGAAACTATAATAACAATTTATTAATTATCGTGACAAATGTAGTATGATACGGTCATTATTTATACATTCTTACCAATATTTTACTCGATTTTATAATACAAGTAATAATAATAAATCTCATTGCACACAAAAATTAAAAGTGCTATATATGTTCATGTGAAAAATGTAAAATCATTGCTTTACAGATCTCAAAATGGTGGGTGATCATTGTGGTTATAGTGGATGTTTATAGATTATCTGTATTTTCTGTTGCCTACAATATAAATAAGAGTAAGAGTAAGAAATAATTCAAAGTATTAGATAAATAAATGTAAAAATAGAGGAAAAACTTCTAGATTTATTTTAATTTATTATGTAAAATTATACGTCCTGATTCTTCGTCGTTGATTTTATGTTTCTCTTTTATATAATTTAATAATAAAATATCGTAACAGATGGCGCCACCAAACGTTACCAGGAAAGTTAAACAACTTGTTGCTGGATTTTTCTTCCGAATTAAAGCCAATAACAAACGGGTGCAATTAACAGCTGGTAAAATTGCGTGTATACCAATAGTTTTCTGATTTGTGTAATTTACGAAGTAAGGCACCAGCTACTCAGATCAAACTATTCTCTAGAATCTCTAGATGATTAATCGTACAGAATTATTGATAAGTAATAGAGTAATTCCGGCTTTGATTGTATTTTAATTGAATAAAACCGCCGAATTCGATGGGTTACTGCTAGTGTAAGATAAAGTCGAAGCCATCGTGCATTGAACAGATTCTAAGAGTCCTCATGATTTATCCAATCGAACTACAGAATTCTCGAAAATTTGATTGAGGCCGGACTACGGACCCTCTTCATTATTATTATTTTAAATGTAGTCCAATGTATGCTAAGTTGAAATAATTCTGGACCCATGTTCTAGAATTCTGTAATCGAATGTCTTCGAACCCGACGATAGCTCAAACTGGTCGAGAAAGTTTATTTATTCAAAATTAAATGACAAGTATAAAGATTTTTGAGTTTTTAATATTAAGTTCATCCAGTTTGATGTTGCATAAATACGCAAAACGTGCAACTCCAACGGCGACCGAAGAATCATTCCGAAAAGCGAAATATTGAGTGAAATAAATCGACATCTTAAGAATTTGATTTATTTCATCCCATGGCCGAAAATAGACAAAAAAGATATTTATCGACTTATTCAAACGAATTTCGTGCAATTTTCGGAGATGGTCAAGCCTCGAGACGTAGAATTTAAGAAGATAGTCTTTCACCTGTCCGCGGTGGACATTCTGCACGATATAATGCAGAAGACAATTTATTTATCGAATTCCGAACACAAGGAAATGATTGAAGCAAAATTTAAAAAATAAAAAAATTAGAAATTAATTAACTAAAAATACTGTAAATAAAATTGATTTTTTTAATTCTAATTTTTACGTAATTCGAACATTGTTGACACGTCTTTTAACGTTTATTCGAAATTCGTCACACATGACGATTATGATTTTTTTATATTCCATACTAAATATGTTTTCTTTTATATACTTGATGAAGTATTCGATTTATAATTTATAACATTTCCTTATTTCACTTGGTTTTTTTATATGGTTTAAATTCTATGTTCTTTTCTCTTCTTTTTATCGTTATGTCAAGATAATTTATTTCCATTTTTACCTCTTTCTACTTTAAATTTAATATCATTATTTAGTTTATTTATTTTTCTTTCTATTTCTTCTATACAATAGAGCCTCGATTATCCGACCCCCGATTAACCGACACCTCGGTTAACCGACCGTCCTAGTCGGCAAATTTCAAATGTCCGCTAGTGATGTGGCGCTACAATATTTGGCTATGTCTTGGCTACTTTAATATTATTTTTACGTGTTTTAGCTGGCAAGACTCATTCGACCATGAAAGGGAGCCAGTATTTAAACGAGGCTTAATTTTCTAATTTTTAACGATAGAATGCAACGATTATTATTTTAAAAAATTTTTGTTAGGCTTAACATCGATGAAAATTCAACGCGAAGTAGGTTAATAGCGATATACTAAAATCTAACTACATGGGATATAATAATATACTACACTAATAATGGATTTTTTCATACTTTTCGGTTATCCGACTTTTCAATTATCCGACCGACCCCAGTACCCAATTGAGTCGGATAATCGAGGCTCTACTGTATTTATTATTGTTTAGTCGTATAATATAATTACATCGTCTATATATCTTTTATAAAATTTTATACCTGTAATATTAATGTATAAACCAGGGCTGTGGAATCGCGTAAAAATCTACCGACTCCAGCTCCGACTCCGACTCCGGCTAAAACACCAAAACTCCACGACTCCGACTCCGACTCCACAGCCCTGGTATAAACATACAAACATATTTAATTAAGAAACTATTGAAATAAATAAAATAATTATTTATTTAATTTAAATTGTGTAAAGTCGAGAATAAGAACAGCAAAGCCATTTCTATTATTCCATACATATTTTCTTGTTTCATTAATATCTTATATACCTAATTTGCATTCAAGAATACTGTATTTAAAACTTACATTTACATTTCTTTCACTGTTGTTTGTTTCTACAACGTATCAATTCATATATTGATATTATTGGCTGCATACTTATACGATATAACACTGTCTATTTGCTAAAACGATTAACAAAACAGTAAGTTTGATTTGATAAATTAAATAAAATATTTTAAAAATGTCTTCAGAATAATAAAAATATTTATGGAAATAAGTTACTATATTAATTTATAATTTTTTTAATATTTTTAAAAATCTAATTCAGCATTTATAGCAATTTATAATTTATGTTTATATAATCTTAACAATGATTAAAATTATAACACCTATTTGTAATTTATGTTCATCAATAATCCAGAATATAAATTGCTAATCATAAAAAAGCAGCTAATTAAATTTAGTGGATTAAATCCTAACGTTTGGATGAAAGATTTGTAAATAAAGCAAAAATTAAGCAAATATCAATTTCGTGTAAGAAATTTCTAATTAAAAATAAAGTAATTTATAAAAATTTTTGTTTAATGTTTATAAATTTATTTTACGGAAATCGAAAACATATCAAACATCAAACTATCAAGCCAAATAAGAAAATATGAAAATAGTTTTAGGCCAGTGTACTAATTTTAAACTACATTTTAGTATCAATATCATGAAATTTTGACTGGAAACTAGTTAAAGATATTTAGACCCTAAGGAAAACTGAATTTTAAATTTAAAAGCGTTCCTGAATTTTGATAAAATCTAAATGAATTCGCAACAAGAGACAATATTTGTGTCAAACCTATTCATCATGTTTTGACATAAGAATAAAGTTGAAAAAAGTTTCTTAAATATTCAATAACTTTACATAAGTATGAAAAATATTTAGGTAAAAGATAGTACAGTACATCTATACTTAATAATAGCCGATTGAAACTTCTACTTTCGAATGAAACGGCTACATATGTCATTTTACAGCTAACTAATTTTCGTATAGAGATGAAAATAAAAAATTAATCTTTATTTAGGCTGTATTTTTAATTTCTATGAGTAGAAATATGAATACATTTACAACTTATGACACTATTAAGACAAATTTAAATAATACAATTGTCTATTAAATTATATGCTTTGTATAATTAACAAGGTTTGATTGAATAACAATTATTTAAAGTAAATATTTTAAATCAATAAATGTAAATATTCCAACTATAAAATACATTATAAACAACTTACATTTAAATGAGTCTATTATCATCTTCCCAACTTACAGATTTTTAATGTAGATAATGGAATTACATTTATTAAAAAATGTTTTATGTTATGTCGAAAATATTTCAATTAAGTTGTAGTTAGAATTATGAAACTATAATTACAATTGAACAATTTTGTCGAAACAAGAATAATAATTATTGTAATATAATCTTTTAGTTTACGATTATTAATTAAATTCTTTAAGATTTTGCTTTTGCAATTAGTGTTTCAATATATTAAAGAGAGTGTTATTTAATTCGATAGAAAGTTTTAACTCTAAATTTTTCATTACTGTTTCTATATGAAAGTTTCTTCTATCAAAAAGTAAGATTAATTCGGTTTTATAATATTCAAATAAAAACAATCCGAATCATAACAGAGGCTTTAAAACTTCTCATGTGTCATATTTTCATTTAATGTAATGAAATATTAATTTTATCAAGAATATACGCGGTTAAGTAATCGAATTCGTTTTGTGACTTCCATTAAGATTAGTCTGTCCGCTGAAGGCAAAATAATAAATAAATAACATTAAGTTTAAATTTTAATTAAACATATTTAGATATTAAAAAGCTGGAAAGCAACTCTCTTCGCACAAAATTTAAATTTGTTTCTGTCATCAATTATCCTAACTTTGGTCTCACATTCAACAATCTAGCACCTGCCAGCATTTCATCACTACTAATGATATCATTTGCCATATTCAAATTACTATAATTTATTCTGATTTAATTTTTTTTTTCTTATCGTGTGACTGCTATCTTATTTATATACTTATCGTTTGTCATCACTTTTCTTTGTTCAGAATTTTAATTTTATTTTTATTATTGTTTAAAATCTATTCAATATTTTACTTTTTTGTTTTTATATTGTCTATTTGTACCTTGTTTATTAACTTGACTTATTATATGGTATAGTTTCTAATTAGCAAAGAGAGGATGTATTTATCTTTATTTATCTATTAAATATTATTAATGCTTTATTTTGAATATTCGATCTACTTTTTTTGTAAATTTTATACTAATTTCATGATTTTTGCATCTCTATTCTTTACAGGGATATTGGTTAATAAAATTTGACTTGAATTAACAAGTTTGAAAATTATGAGAAAAATAACGAGTGTAAATTATGGTATAAATTAATATTTAACTTATCAATTCACAGTATGAATAATAGTATATTTAATATATACAGTTCGGCTATTGAACAAATTTTGGAGAGTAACATCGGAGAATAGAAATTTCTTATTTTTTGACGTAATTTTATAAGGATAACAGTACAGTATATTAAAGAAAGAAACAACCTGTTCTTAACTTAAACTTAATAGTAGTAAATTAATTTGGATGTGTTCAAATTAAGATAATTAGCATAATAGAAGATAATAATTATTAAAATTTTTTATATGTTTTCGTAAGAAACTTATATAACACCAATCAATTTTAAAATGCATATGATCAATGATTATTTTCGAAAAATATAAGAAAAATCATAAAGTAATTTTACAAAGACAAACTTATGAAAGAAAAATGATCGTTTCTGCAATAAAGACAGGAAAAAGAAAAATGAAAAATATTAATATTGAAAACCAAAACCATATATATAGACCCTATATGTTTAGGGCTTTTGTTTTGTATAAGTAAATGCTGTTAAAATATCTATTAATAGTTATTTTAGTTTTATACTGCCTCTTTGTCCTTATTGATTTATATAAATTAAATAAGTATTTCATTCATTTTAAAAATTCTAAATAATATATTAGACAATATAAGAATTTTATTTTAAAAATATCTTAAGATTTTAGAATATCAGAAATTATAATTAAATTTTTAAAATCGATTTATTTAAAAAAATATATAAAAGATTATTTCATCAGCCTCTCAAATATTAGGTTCATTTGATATAACTTACAAATATCATAGAATAACTAAAAATCAGATATTTATATCTAAAAGTTATTATATATCATATATAACAACTAATTTATTAAAAACGTGCATTAATTAATGAATAATAAATTATTGATAATTTTAAAAACATTCCTTGAAAACATTTGTTAATGCTAAAAATTTCAATATTTCCGAATAATTAAAAATTCAAAATTAAAATTTTTATCAACAATTTGTTCATAAAAATTTAATTAAAAAACGTTTTCCCATATTAATCCAATGCTATATTATCGAAAATTTTATTTCAATCTTTTGCTTCTGATTTTGAAAATTATTATTATTCTTATTATTTAAATTTGCTTTATATTTCATACTTTACAATTACATCAGATATTAAATATTTCGTAATGAAATAAAAGAATTCTTTCAAATATTTAATTTATTTATGAGTTAGCACAAGGAAAATTTACTTCATAAATTCTTACTGGGGGAAAGATGATTAAAAATGATTAAAAGAATTTTAAGTAAGAATAAATCGAAAGCTATTATAATATTACAGTCAATTAACCTTCCTAAAGATAACCTCCTACGTAGAGATTTGGGCAGAAGGTTAATAAATAATTATATGAATTTTAGAAGTGATCTTCTAGATAATTTTGAGAGACCAAATCAAATACAGACAACAAAACATTTGCAGATGTTTATCAGTTAATAATGAGAGTTGTGATGTAATCTAACGGAACTAAATGCTTGGTTGAATTCAAATTGCCTTTAATTAATAAGTGAATCATATAAAAACAGCAAATAGTAACGACAAAGAAATTATCATTTATGGTGCTTAGAATTCAAAATAAAAATTATAATGAAAACAAATTTTTCCCGACAGATGGCGCTGCATGCGTGATTTAATGTATTTTCAAAATGTTACTAGTAATTTATATCCTTTTAATGATATAATTTTCACGGTGTTACTTTGCATTAATAAACATAAAGCAATTTTTTTTCTAAAATCTTCGTTAATGTTATTCTAATGAAGTTATAGAAGAGTTACTATACATATTTTGGCCTAAAGACATAAAAAAATTAATAACATCTTATTAAAATGTATGCAGCCATTCATTATTGTAATAGAAAAATTAAAGGATTAGTATTATCCCTTTATAACAAATCGTATTAGTTCCTAAGTGTCTCTCTTAATAAGTATATACTTAAAAACTCTCTAGGCATTTCTTAGATATTCTATTAATATTAAGCTACTGAGTTTCCATAAATTCTGATTGATCTCTACCTAACACCGTAATTTCATCGCTTTAATGGATAAGTTCTTTAATAAATAGAGTAAAATATCTACATTGATTCATCAAAATGGATGATTGATATCAACCCATAAATCTTCAATTTAGAGAATAATTATAATAGTAAATAATCTGACAACAACAAATTAAGAATGTAATGAGCAAAGCGCAACTCAAGAATACAATAACGATAGTTAAGGTGTCAACAAACTTAATTTAAAAAATTTATCTAGATTCTTACATACCTGGTTCCTTTTAAAATTTTATATTCGTTTTTCATTAATAACAAAGTGTAAATTCATTTCTCATTTAATAATCTTAAAAAGAACGTTGTTACTTATATATAATGTACTGTACAATGTAATGTTACTTACTATATAGTGTATTACAAGTAAGATTATTGTGTTATGAGATGACAGAATAGTAGCCTATATTAGATTTTTAAGTACTATTAAAACATATAACAGAATAAAACTGGGTAAAGTTTTCATAGAACTTAATCAGTTTAACAGTATAGTGAAGCTAATTAAGTGAAAGTAAATGTATACGAAACAGAAAAATATTAACTAATTATGTTATATTTTACGGGGAAAAATCTTGAAATAGACAGCTTTACACTTTCCTGTCTGGTAGTGTTTTTATCTAAAGCTCGCTGTAATATTTTAGCGACTTCTTACGAACCAAAGAAATTAGATAAGGGAGTCAGACTGATAGACGATATTTAAGAAGAAATTCAAATGCGTCCATAAATAAAGCTAGAATAGTTGGCAAGATGGCGAGCTTTCATCATTCTTTGATAAACGAGCAAAAGGCAGTTGGTATTTATCAGATGGCAGCAAGAAGAACGTCAAGATCAAACGGCCACCGTCTGCTACGTGTTGGTTTATGGAGGGCCGATTGTTAAAAAGTCGTCTTGTTAGAACGTTGCCAAGTCACAAGAGATGGAAAAGTGGGCGTGATATACCCGCCATAACGATTATATTGTGGCACCATTGGTGGATGATTAATTGGATGTAATGATATGCGTCGATTAAGTTTGCCGAATGGAAATAAACACGTTTAATGCTAGGCTTGGCAAAATAGTTGCGCAATTATACCACCAGGCGGCGTGGTGTACACGGATGGGAAATTATAGGGTGGCGGTGTGACGAATCGGGTGTGCTTTAACACCGAGGGGACGCGGTTGTTGGCGCTCACTGACTGTAATTAGCTGGCGATTACCTTCAGTTTAAACATAATTAACCTAACCCGGGTGTCGGTGGTTCACACTTTTGGTTTGGATTCTGGACCGGTCTGCATTCCGGTTAACTGTTTCTGCAGAGGATATGGCCTGAAGTCAGAGATCGGCCTTTGGTGCCATTCATTCCACTCTCTCTTATTTTCAAATTATTTATTTCTTCGAGCCACTTATCTTTTTATATAACTAAAAAAAAAATCATTAACAAATGCATTGGTGTAATTTGCATTTCAGTTTATCTTAGTGAATAATGTTTCTAATTATTTATGGTATAAAAATGTATTGTTTGTTCCAGCTGAACAAAAATAAGTATAACGATACCAAACAATAATTGTTTAAATGTATATTAAGATGTTAAAGAAACTTTCGAAAGCAGAAAGTTATAATACAAATAATTAGAATTTAATTGGATCTTTATTAGTCTTTAAACCTGTAAAATGATTAAAATACACGATATAACAGTAAAAAAAGCTAAGTTATATTTATATTACGGCAAAACTTTTGTCAAAACAAAAACTGAAAATATATTTTTTAGGCATAGCATAGCTTGTCCCTTTACATATGTTTATGTACAGCATTAATTTATTATTACAGGTATTTCATTCTTAAGTCGGAGGTTCTCTATATTAAAAGCCAATATAATATTTACTTAATACAATAAAATGATATTTTTTATTGACTTTTCAGAAAAAGTAAAAAAAAAATTGCCAAAAACTTATTTATAAATCTAATCTTAATCAAGTAATCTTACTTCAGGCTATTCATTCAAACTAAACTATTGTCTAAAAAAGTTTACATGAAACCTAATTATCGGCAATTCCTCGTGTTTTGTATACTTTAGGCATGATAACAAGATGGCAAAAATGTTGATATCTTGACAAGTATCGTGTTACATATCATACAGCATATAGAAATTTAGCTCATTTATTTGTCAATTGAGACTGTCGGCAGTAGTGTTTAACATAGAGACTTTGCAATTTCATAAAAATTAGTAGGTCTTAATAAGGTCCTAGTTAGAAAAAAAAAATTACAAGAAAAAAATGCTGTTTTCTCTGAGGCTCCAATCTGGCCTATCTGGTATTGGAAGAGTCGTTAAGGAGACCAATCCAAGTCATCATTAGATTCTCATTTTGTCTGATGGCGTTGACAGAAATCTCGAGTGCGCAACAAACACAAAACAAGCGATTGATCTGGCGTTTTCACGCCTCAAGTCGCTGTCATCAGCTAGAGGCATCTGAAAATAAGCGCCGCAGGTGTAATGCTGCTAACCGCTAATTATCGCATCTGTCTTAGTCAGAAAGATTGCCGGATTTTTTTTTCTCTCCTCTGTTTCTTCATTGGTAACATTTTTTTTTCTTCAGTTGTGCATTTTGACAGCAGTTTCAATTTCGAATTATTAGCGTTATAAAGATGGTTTAAGATGTCCCATCCTCGTTAGGGAATGATTTAGCTATGTGTCATCGGAGAGATGGCGTTTGCATTTTTGAATGAGAACGAGTTTGGAATAATTGAAGCAGGCCTACTAAGCACCACAGAAAAACTGATATAATCTGGTCACTAAACATGGAGACAAGGCTAGAACGCTTATTAATATCTCTCGCTTAGAGCAGCGGTGCCCAGCCTTAATTTATGGCGTGCAACATCAAGTTTCACAACACTTGTACGGACCATATGATTTTTAGCGTCCGGATTATATGAATGGAGGAGTGTAAATATATTGAATTCTTAAGGAAAAAAATTTAAAAAGAATAAAAAAACACGTAGTAATTAGATGTTATCTACCAACGTTACTTTTTATTCATATATTATATGCTATTGATAATAATATAAGGCAGTGATAGCAAATTTTTAACATCAGTTTCAACAAAAGAGTTCAACAAAAATATTTTAAGTTATTATGACTCAATTGATATATAACTTATTATAAAATTTAATATACTATTTGTACAATGTTATTTATTATTTATATTTAAGTTTTCATAATTCATTATTAAAGTAGAATGGAATTTAATAATGAATGTAATAGTTAAAATTTTGAAGACTTTTTTTTAAATCTTTTAATTTTATATCTGATTTATCTAAACAGTTTTTTTAATTCTCACCTTGTTATCTTTTTTCAAAATAAATTTATAAGCCAGCTGCTATCATTTTAGTTCATTATCACTGTATCTTCCCTCTCTATAGGTTACTTCTATTTAAAAAAAATGTTCAATGAAATTTGTAGAAATAATGTAAAATGAAGAAATAATATTAATGAATTTAATACATTCAGTAAAACTTTATATTCTATCAACAAATTAATCAGCATAGAAAGTTTTATATTAAGGCATCATATTAATAATTCGACACATTAAATGTATTTTTTTTACATAATACATAATTTTAAATTTAATACAGTTAAAGAGGAAATAATAATTTTACTTTAATCTTTTTTCGGAAAGAGACAATGAACAATATTTTAGGTAATCGCTGTTTAATAAAGAAGAACACGCTCGAATCTGTCATAAGTTTATACATAGACAATCACCTTTGTCTATTGTACAGATTTATTATTCGTCTTTACACTCGAGCACGGGTCGGCAACACCTGTTAAAATTGTCAGATAGTGTATGGTTGTTCCATTGTTTGATTCCCGTGACAACACTTCTGTCACGCTACTTAGTTCTAATTGATACCCAGACACCAGCCTTAGGGTTGGACAGGATACAAGAATTGATAGATGCATTCTCCTCCTCAGTCCTCCCAGCCATCGCATAAAAAATGGACAGAATCGGCACCTTCCAGCCGCACATATAACTTCCATTTAGTCACACGTCATTGTCAGTTTAACACCCATTACTCGGAGTCACTATCCCAGAATATTTTATCGAAAAAAAATGCCTTTATGTTTAAAAAGGTATATTTGAATATACTATTATGTAAATTATAGCTTCAACAAGAACCGCTTTTTCGCCGTGAATAACTCAGAAACTATTTAGGGATTTTGATCAAATTTACTAGATAAAAAAAACTGCGGTTTTCTTACAAAATATCTAACTTTACCGCCAGATATTTAACTAAAGGACCGTGATTGACTTATATAAAGGTTATTAGAAGCCTATTAAATAGTAAGAAAGTAAAACCTCGCTAAGAAATAATTATTTATAGAGCCTATTATATTCTTCTTTGTAATTCCTTTCCATTCCGAGCAATAGCTGACGTGAGAACGAGCTGGACGTCTATAATGACAGAGTCCATCTCTAGCAACATCACTGCTGACTACCAGATACCTCTGGCAGATAAGAGTTATTATGCGGTCTCAACCGCTTGTAATTTTCACACCTGCACGCATGCGCGGGTCTGATTTGGTGCAGATGGTTGGACGTGAGATGGATTAGAAGATCAAATGGTCAAAGGTCATGGGTGGTTCTCCGACACGCCAGGTGGCGGCAAAAGACCCTCTCCGAACTGGAATTTGAAACATCACCAGTTACATTGTTATAAGCGTTTAACCGTTTACCGCAAGCAATTATCTTATAGTCTTATAGGCCTACATCAGATTTATAACACCTGCTCCTAGTACTGAAAATCCTACAAGATCTATTAAGAAAACATTCAGAAAAAAACAAGAAACTACAACTTTACACTACAAATTTTTTATGATTTCGATAGACTATTAAAATAAAATCAATTGTCTTCTTAACAACCTGTCTTAAGAGCCAACGCATAAAAAATTAGTTAATACAAAATTTAAATTCATCTTTTGATTTATTAATTTAAGTTATTTGAATCTATTAAATTATAAAAATAAAAACCGCTGTTAAATTTCGGTATGCAAACAATTTCTCCAAATTAAGATAATAAATGATAATTCGACTGTTCCCATACGACGTCCGGAAGTTCTGACAATATCTCGTTTAGGTATGATAAAGTGTTTAGGTCTATTAATTAAACAAATTTAACTTTATCTTCGATCGATAATGAAAAAGAACAGCTCTATTAATTAATCAAATAACAAATAAATTTAAAAAAATCATTATACAGAATATTTGTAACGTATTAACAAACAGTAATGCGGCCCTCCAGCTATATCCGTCTTAAAATAAACTTTTATAGCTTTTTTTTAATATAAAAAAATAACATATTAAAATTTTTATCATTATTTCTCTGTTTTTAAACAGAGAATAAATATTAAAACGTTCCTCTCCAACATTAAACTTAAAAAAGTTGATTTATAGACTCGTTTCGTACTTAGTCCTAAGCAATTTTAGCCGGAGGTACGGACGTTTTCCAACCAATTCCGGGCGAGGTATCAGACCAACCACGTGGATTAGGTGGGCCCTCTCGTGCTTCGGACGCAGTTGTTTACTTTCCATTCTCAGAATGCACGTGACGCGACTCGGCCAATAGCTAGAAAATAACCCGTTATCTTCAAATGTAAGCGACCAATAAGAAGAGAGTTGATGTTGGAATCGGCAACTAGGTCACGCCACTTCTCCTAGTGAGAAAGAATGACACGTTGTTAGGCCTAAACACCGTTAACTGATACAGTTAAGTGACTGCCCATGCAGCAGGCGAAAACCACCAGGACATCTTTCTCCGTAGACTCACTCGTGTCGCCAACAAGACCCGCAACGGCTGCTCTTCCGGTGCCGCTCTTCTATAATGGATTGGTATATTTTCCTCATCCGGCCGGACTAGTGCCCGTCCTCCCTCTGACATCGGGCCCTGTTGTTTGTCGAACACCTCCCCGGCCTTGCCTCGGACCTTCGGCATCGGCTTTCCCCGGTTCGGTTTTAGGTCTTCCTGGACCGAAAGAAGGAGTGTCGCCCTTCGATCTAGAATCTGAACATTCCTGCTCTGGACTTCCACATCCCGATCGGAGTTCTCCTTCGGAATCTGTATCCGAATCCGTCGACTATAATCTCGGTAAGTGAATATTTCGATTATTACTCAATCGACAGTCTTAAATATTTGAGTATTTCAGTGCATTTAACACTATATTCATTATACTTTTCACTGTTAAAGTTCCTAATAATTCCTTCGAATATCTTTCCTAAATATGCAAAATATATGATCATTATATCATTAATTTCAAAAGTTAAAGTTCTGTTCTTAATAGTTCAATTTAAATATGAAGTATTAACTTTGCTTAAACAAACAAAATGCTATTTTAAATTCATTAAACACGGCAGTCTTTTAGTAATAAACTAAATCAGAATATAAAAAGAATTTTCACAAATATAAGATTTATTTCTTATAATATGAAATAAATCAAAGGCTTTAACAGAATTATTCGTTTCATAAAAAATCTTTTCTTTTCATTACAAATAACCATTAATTTTTTTAATTAATTTAAATTAACGTAGAAATTAATTCCTAAAAATAGCAGTTTGAAATAACAGATTCAACATTTTTAAACTTTAAATATTCAAAAGATTAGAACTAAAGAACTAATTCATATCTCTCGCTAATTCCTAATTAATAAAAGAAACAAGTTCTTTACTATGATCGTTTTTCTTCTAAAGGATGCAATTAAGCAACTGCTTACATCAAAAAATAAACAAATAAAAATAAAATCCTGCTTCACTATTGATTTAAGTTCCAAAATAATCCTATTCGTGAACAGAGCTTCTTATCTAATGTTGCACACCACTTTCTGAAACATTGAATCTCAGTTCCTAAAAGAATATAACAAAAGTTTCTTGTATAAACAAAGCATGCTATTCTAAAACAAACCATGGTGCAGAAATGGTTTTTAAAGTGCATTAAAAATCTTATAATTAAATAACTGAACATTAATATCATATAATTTTTATAGACAAGAAAAAAAATGACATTGGGTTATTTATTCAATAGAAATTTTCAAATATTCTCACGAAATCTCGAAAATAATAAATATCAATTTAAGAGAGTTATATTAAGTAATTTTGTGCAGTAAATCCAATTATAACCCTCAAAAGCAAGACCTATAATCAATGGGTGATGAGTTTTAAGCGGGATATACGTGTATAGAATATTTGTCACATAATTATGTGCGGTCAACTGAAGAACTTCTACAATTAATTCTTTCATTCAGCAATGTTTCTAGTCCCCTTAATCGTTCTTAAGTTCTTCTTACGTCTAATTTCTAATGAAATATTTAAGAATTTACTGTAGTAATATTCTCTAAACGAATTCATTCATTTTTTAGAAAATATAAAACATAATTTTACATTATTCTTAATTAATAAAGATCTAATTATAATTTTCGTCGATTATTATCAATGTCATTGTACATAAGTTACTATTCTTGCACTTTATGAATATAAAACAAGCTTTGATACAACGGGATGTAAAACTTTATATAATAAAACTAAAGTTCTTAGATTCATAAATTATTTTAGAATATGTATAGTTCGAAAATATATATTTTTAAATATATTCTGGCCAACTTTACGACTGTAAATATGAAATGAAATTTTTGTATTCCGTCTGGCTGCAACAAACTACATTAGTTTATGTCGTATACAAACAATAATTCATAACACGTTTTAAAGTATACAATGAACTTGTTGGCTTACTAAATATTATAAAACGATTATTTTAGGCCTACTATATCTATATACTCGTTAAGAGTTTATCGTTCTCTCTTTCGACATCGATGTTCCAAAGACGGAGGTACCAACAAAACAAGATTGGTTTATCAAGTTAGACACTTGAAGTTATATCGGTGACAGTTTCCGTGGTAAGACGCGTGCAAGTAGTCAGATTACAGTTTAAGACATAGCGGGAAGTAGGGGGTGAAAATGGGGGTGATCATGGTCATTGTTGTCAGTAGTTCTCATGTCGGAACAAGTTTAATTCTCTTTACGTTTCTGATTAAAAAAATCCAAGAAAAAATAATGCATTTCTGTTTTATATATTTGTCTGTTGATTATTTAGATTAATAATTTAAAATATATTCGTTTAAACTGTAAATAGAGGAGTTATAGAAATAAAAAAGTAAGACTCACCATCAATTCTCCCATAATTTGCAAGGAAGTAGCGCAGTACTAAAATTTAAAAATAATGATCTAATTCCTTATTTAATAGTAGTTTATTAAATAAAAATATATACATAATATTTATTATTTAATAAATTAATTTTTAAAACATTTCAAGTTTTCTCGCGAAACTATTACTTTCAATGCGAAAGCGATTTCTTCTAGAAAATCATGTTGGAATAATTCGGAGAGAAATATTTTTATGAAATCGTCGTTATAAATAGCATGATTAGAAAATAAACATATTTGTCTTTATAAGAATTGCAATATAAGGAGCAGTCAGGTACTTTAAAGTAGAATTGCATAGGTTCAAGCATAGCAAGCAGATGTTCCTCAAACCAAACATACCATTAAGGAGGAGAAAAAAGGAAAAGCGTAAAAGTATTTTGAAACATTTTCGTGCATGAAGAATATTTATCAGAGAAAACGATTGGGTTAAATAGGGTGATTTTTTAGCGATGTAAAAATCATTAAGATGCTTTTAAAAAGACAAACCAATGCGATGGAAACACCTTTCTTGTATATCTCACTCGATCTGAAGAAATCGCGTGCTACTTTACCCTCATTCGCTGTCATACTAAGAATTAATAGCTTTCTAGCGAATAAATGTTACGGTTATGTATAAGCTGATATTATCAAAATATCTGTCAAAATTTCTTATTAGCTCGAGGTGTTGCGTTGCGCTTAACGCGACCAATCGACTACGAACAAGAATTCCAAACAACTATCTCTACTTTAACATCAGTGACTGAAGAGAAATTTGATATCGCAACCCAAAACTCTGGGCCTCTTTGAACATATACTAATACAAAATTTATTTTCCGTTCTGCATATTGCTATTCTATAAACATGCCAAAAGCAACTTTTGTACTGTGCCGTGCGTTATTGATAGCTTTTTAAATGGGTTTGTGTGGGGACATGCAAAAATGTGCATTGCAATGGCATGGGCTGTAACTTTCGGTTGGTCACGACTCGCTTAAGTTTCCACACTAACCCTAGCTGCAGCTATGTAAACAGCAGCAGGGACCACAAATCAACCGACAATGGACTAAGCCTGGCGGGGACGGCGGACATCTAAGCTCCTTGGACCAGTCGTCATTAGAATCCATCTGAAAACCTGTCTACTACGGGTTGCTCTTTTAAACATTTGTTGCGGTCTTTCTTTTCTGAATTTTTTTATGAACTTCGATTGATTTATTAAAAGTACTTGTTACAGAATTCGCACTAAAAGTTACTAGTAATTGCATATTTTCTTTCTTTTCTTTTAGCCGAGTAACATTCCAATTCATTATTAATCTCCATAAAAAAAAAAATCTGTTACACCGCAGTTGTTGTATCCAATTACATCTCACAATAAATAAAAATTCTACATATTTTCATATAGTTTCTTTAGACCTGTTCATTTTTAATAATTAAACTTTTCAAGTATTTATCCTATACCAGATTTTAAAAAAAAGGATAGTTATGTATGAAAAGAATTTCGTGTAGACACATATGAAAAGCCTACATACGATCTGATTAATATTAACAGCCAAACCATTAACCTTTTAACATATAGTCCAAGTCCATTGGTTGATTCAGAACTTAGAACCATATAAATTGTAACGGCCACTTATAAGCTACGAAAACGAGTACTTTGCACTGATAGACTGTTATTATTGGCGATAAAAACAAACGATTTTTACATTTTAAAGATTCAAGATTACGTTCAATAAACATCCAAAATAGTATTGTAAAATTTACATATTTGTTAAAATATTAACTATTTAATATGCCAGTAAAATCGCCATTAAAGCTAACTAACATAATTAAAATAATGCAAAGAGTAAAGTAAATTTTGCTGTTGTAAAAAGCATAGGTCCCGCCCTAACCTGAAAAACATCTAGTCTATTTTATTTTTATAACAATGTCTAAATGCCATTAAGGTAATAAAACACGATATGTATGCTTCATAGGAGTGCCGTTCACGCCAGCAAACAACTCATCTAGTCGTCAGAATGCAGCATCCCCGCCATCTTCTGAGTCGGAATCTCCCCGTTCCAATTGTCAACCTAATAAATCAAGACGAAGAAGAACAGCATTTACAAGTGAACAATTATTAGAATTGGAGAAGGAATTTCATTCCAAAAAATACTTATCACTAACAGAAAGGTCCCAAATAGCTCATTCCTTAAAACTCAGCGAAGTTCAAGTGAAGATTTGGTTTCAAAACAGAAGGGCGAAATGGAAAAGAGTAAAAGCTGGACTATCTTCTGGAAGATCATCTAGTAATCCAAATGCACCCAAAATTGTCGTACCAATTCCCGTACACGTGAATAGAATGGCGATTAGAAGTCAACATCAACAATTAGAAAAAACAGCCAGGTGAGAACATTTTTTTAATTCATTGGTTATACATGTCATTAACACCATATAAAAGTCTACTTTTTAATGTTATGAAATATTAATAATTCCGATATTTAAAATGATAAATTATTCAGCAAAACATGCCAAGCGTGTAATTATTGGCAAGAAAGTACGTTTACAATTGTAATTTAAAAATTAGTAATTTTATAGGAAAAAAATATATTTTAATTTAGACTGTTTTATTCCAATAGTCATATATAATTAGAATGATTATCATCCGTAATTAAGATAATGATCCAAACATCTGTACATTCAAACATATCTAAATATGATCTTGTAGGCCATATTAAAAGTCGATCTAATTGATTCGGAATATTAAGAAATAATTTGATCACTAAAAATATTTCGACTGGGAATAATCGCATTTTAATAGTTATCATAGACTTGTTAAGACTCCACAAACCAGGCCCAACTATTTATCGCCCCTACAAAAGACCATTCTAGCTCTCAAACGGAGGGGAATTCGTATAATTTGTTGGTCGATAAATATTGAGAGAAAGGAGGTCCGGAGAGTAAGAAGAGGCCAGAGAGAATATCGGTAATTTGTAACAGAGTAAATATTCGAACGAGTCTCAGTTATGTCAACCTCCAACCCCGAGGACTTCACACTTCTCCCCAACATTTCCGCGGGGACGGGACGTGAAAGGTGAGTATAAATCACTAGTGTGGAGTCTTTACGATGTTTCTTTGCCATAATCTAGCCGACTGTTCTCTTCGGGGTGAGAATATAAAACTCTTCAACCTTCAATCGGCTCTTTGACCAGCCGAATAAGGGCGTCATGGAGTAAGGTGGTGGCTGTGTAATTGTAGAGTATTGGCGCAGTAAAACTAGCTTCTCAAGACACTTAGAGTGGAATGTCTTGGCTAATGTCCTTAAAAACGTGATGGACAATTCAATGGACTCGTCGAACTTGACGAAAAACACAGATGCTCTATGAATTCACCATCTGCATCTGTTTTGATCTGCAGATAGAATAAATGATTCCATCCATAGCCGCCGGAAACACTAAATTCGGAAAATATTATCCTTGAAAAGTTATTTTTCTAACTTTACATGAACAGAAATGAAGTGAAACCAAGGACATTACAGAATTATTAATAATAAACTTTTCCTGAAAACGGAACAAACATTGTTGAAACAAAACAACATGAAAATCAAATTAAATTCGAAAATTTTAGATGAAAATTAATCACAACTTTACCGTTTTCACCATTTATTTTAAGCATTCGAAATGTTAGATGATTTATTAAACAATATCTTCAGAAATGACTTGAAATCTTGAAAAATCCTACAAACGGATCATGGTTTAAGAAAGTTATTTTTCTTCTTTCACCTTCGTTGTAAATGTATTTTTATACTTCGAAAACAAAATTTATAAGTTCGTCGGCCTTTCATATAAAGTTTTAGGAAGTAAATTATCTAAATACTAGAAGAATAATTTTACGAACATATATTCCATAAATAATACATTAGGCTAACACAAATCTACTATAAAAAATTCAAGCAAAAAATTTTACGAATTAATCTTCCACATCCAAAGATACAGTAAAGTCAGAATTTATAAGAATATCATGTTCGTTATATTAGTAAAATTTTTAGATGAAAAACAATAGATTAGACAGACAATAGTTTCAATTAAAACAATAGATTTATTCTAATAGTAAACCTTTACTTACAGATTTGTCAAGGTTGTACTAATATGTAAGCCTATATGAATTATTAATGAATAAATATTATAACTAGCTTATGCTTCACCACCCAAATAAGAATGTTCATTAGACTATGCTACAGAAAAGTGAAGATAATTATAGTGAAGAGAATAGTAATTTAGAAGAATAGAATGATTTATATGGGATCTAATATGCATATAACCTTTTTTCTTTCTAATACCATATTTTGTATTAGAGTAATATTGATATTAGTAAATCTGGGTTATCTAGATTGCAGAAAGCTTCATTTAAGGCCGATAAAAGAATAAAATACGATAAGGAAATAAAAAAAAACATTTGCATTATTTATAAAGAATTATAACAATATTTTATGCAATATACTTCTGTAATCGTTATGTTTGTTTTGAGCTGTTAGCTAGACACAAGTCTCTGAATGTAATGTTAGTAATTAGTTAAATTACTTTACGCAAAATTTATTTTTATATCAAAAATCATTATATATCAAATCTATAATTTGCATTAAAAATTTGTCAAGTTAAAGTAATAACAAAAAATATATATATATATTTAAATGAGTAATTTAATTACATATATCTATTATGGAAAGTTGAAATTTGAAAATCGTTTAAAAGATAATTACCTTCTCTTAAATTAGCTAATTTAAATTATTAATTAGTTTAACTATTTTATTTAAGATTATATATACTGTATTGACACAGCTGCTTAACTTATTTATTTTGATTATCAGCTAGTTTTGATAAAATAATCAAATAAATTTTAATTGAAGTAATGGGAAACTGCTTTAAACAGAAGGGTAATTAGAAATATGTTTATGATTTTTATTTCTTATAATGTTATCTAATGTTAAGTGTAATTCAAGTGATACATAATATAAAATTCTTGTGTTCAGTATTTTCTAGTGTTAAACTATTTAAACAAATTAATGTTAAATTTGCTTAAATATACATTAAGACCCCTTATTTTTATATTGTTTTAACAATACTTCTCCTTTAACGATTTAAAATATTCAAAAACTATCTGTTGAAACAAAATTTTTCAATTTTAATTAATTATTTATATTTTTATAAAATAAATTTACAAAAGATTATGAAAAGAAGAAAATTTAACGGGCTTCAGCGTTAAAATCAACATAGGAAATCAATTAAGATAAATTCCCTTAAAACCTGATTGAAAACATACAGCTTATATAAAGTTACTTAAGTATTATCTGTACAGTATGACCCTCATCACTGTAATGCAAAATTTAATGGTGGGGTTATTTCGTAACGAGTGTTTTCTATAAATAATATAATTCGTGGGTGGAATATTTTATTATTATAAAACATTTAATTTTAATTCTTTGATAAATATTTGTAGGTTGTATTTTATATCTTTCCTTTTCAGATATGATAGGCAGGTGTACTTTTGGGAAGTCGATAAATGCTAGCTTAGGTGGAGTTTATCCTCTCTATAATTTCTATCAATATGGCCTCTACTGGTTTAATCGAAAATATAAAAAAGATAAATAGAAATAAAGTTAAAAACTATGTTTTTATAAAACTATTTATATGATAGTTGTTAAATTAGAAAATTTATATAACAAAATATTTGAAATCATTATAAACAGCAAAATATTTCCGACAGAATAATACATTTAATAATAATTTTGTATAATTCTCTGACTTCTTTAATTAATACTGTACAATATAATAATTTTATCGATAGAATGTACTGTACGTATTCAATAATTTATCTTAAGTTAACAAATGGAGAATAACTTGAAATAAGCTTGAAAATACATTTCAGCGCTTGATCAGAAGTCGGAATTTCATAGAAAAGGGAGCAGTTAGGCCAAATAGTTGTCACCCTGTCTCGTTTTCTCTTATTATCTATGAAGGTGACCATATAAGAAGCCATTAAGTGTCATTTGGGGAGAGTGCATGAAATGTTTAAGTAACTGTAGTAAAGACTACAAGATTTAAATGTAGGCTTATAAGCTATTTTCTCCAAAAATTATTATCTTATTATTTTTTAAAAAATCTAATAAAAAATAAAAATTATAAAGGCATAGTTAGTTAATTTTCAGCAAGTTTTTTTTTCTTTTACCTTATTAAGGAAATGCTAATGTAAATCATATCTTAACCCATTTCTAAATTGCCATTAATCATCCCAATGTTTACAGGTGATTAATGATAAATTCCATTTCATAAAGTGTCTTGCGAGGCATCGACCCGAAAGTCATACAAGTGAGAATTTGGTAAAATAGTATTTGTACAGTACATTTTTGAATCATATAAAAAAATTAACAGGTAATAATATTATAAAAGAAATAGAAAACTAATTTATTTACAAGAAAATATATTATATATATATAACGAGNAACTTTCAATCGTTTTACACAACCGCATTCCTAAGTATAAATAACTAAATTAAATTAATTCATTATTATGAACTGTACACTAGCCATACAACATTGCCTGCTTTATTTATCAAGCAACGTTATATAAAAATAATTAATAAAATTTATATCAAATATTGACACTTATTTTTCGTCAATTTCTAGAAAACATAATAAAATAAACTTATATGATTAAACAGTAACGAAGTTTTCTTACTCTAGTTCAGATAATTACTCTAGGGAACTTCAATTCTACTAAATTATACAGAAAATGCAATTTATTAATTAGATTTGGACTTATCCTTATCTATCCATCTTGTAATATATCTATATCATAACTAATCCCATAAATCCTAGAATAAAAGATAAGAAGGTCTACTGATAAATTATTTGAATCAAAAAATTTTTAAGTTTCATAAACCTATCGGGTCCTTTACATTATAATTCCATAGTTTAAATTTTGTTATCAAGACCTGAAGCTCAGATAAGAATCTAATTCTAATAAAAATTTTCCTCATAACAAATCATGTTAAAAACAAGACTATTATTAGCCAAATTATGACAAGATAATTATCCATTAATTACTAAGAAGAAGTTTATATATTATATTCTTAATATATATGCATATTAAACCTGTTATTTATAAAGAATTTGTTTTATATTTTCTGTTTGTTAATTAAATTCATACATCCAACGCATGTCAAAATCGTTTAAAAGATAATTACCTTCTCTTAAATTAGCTAATTTAAATTATTAATTAGTTTAACTATTTTATTTAAGATTATATATACTGTATTGACACAGCTGCTTAACTTATTTATTTTGATTATCAGCTAGTTTTGATAAAATAATCAAATAAATTTTAATTGAAGTAATGGGAAACTGCTTTAAACAGAAGGGTAATTAGAAATATGTTTATGATTTTTATTTCTTATAATGTTATCTAATGTTAAGTGTAATTCAAGTGATACATAATATAAAATTCTTGTGTTCAGTATTTTCTAGTGTTAAACTATTTAAACAAATTAATGTTAAATTTGCTTAAATATACATTAAGACCCCTTATTTTTATATTGTTTTAACAATACTTCTCCTTTAACGATTTAAAATATTCAAAAACTATCTGTTGAAACAAAATTTTTCAATTTTAATTAATTATTTATATTTTTATAAAATAAATTTACAAAAGATTATGAAAAGAAGAAAATTTAACGGGCTTCAGCGTTAAAATCAACATAGGAAATCAATTAAGATAAATTCCCTTAAAACCTGATTGAAAACATACAGCTTATATAAAGTTACTTAAGTATTATCTGTACAGTATGACCCTCATCACTGTAATGCAAAATTTAATGGTGGGGTTATTTCGTAACGAGTGTTTTCTATAAATAATATAATTCGTGGGTGGAATATTTTATTATTATAAAACATTTAATTTTAATTCTTTGATAAATATTTGTAGGTTGTATTTTATATCTTTCCTTTTCAGATATGATAGGCAGGTGTACTTTTGGGAAGTCGATAAATGCTAGCTTAGGTGGAGTTTATCCTCTCTATAATTTCTATCAATATGGCCTCTACTGGTTTAATCGAAAATATAAAAAAGATAAATAGAAATAAAGTTAAAAACTATGTTTTTATAAAACTATTTATATGATAGTTGTTAAATTAGAAAATTTATATAACAAAATATTTGAAATCATTATAAACAGCAAAATATTTCCGACAGAATAATACATTTAATAATAATTTTGTATAATTCTCTGACTTCTTTAATTAATACTGTACAATATAATAATTTTATCGATAGAATGTACTGTACGTATTCAATAATTTATCTTAAGTTAACAAATGGAGAATAACTTGAAATAAGCTTGAAAATACATTTCAGCGCTTGATCAGAAGTCGGAATTTCATAGAAAAGGGAGCAGTTAGGCCAAATAGTTGTCACCCTGTCTCGTTTTCTCTTATTATCTATGAAGGTGACCATATAAGAAGCCATTAAGTGTCATTTGGGGAGAGTGCATGAAATGTTTAAGTAACTGTAGTAAAGACTACAAGATTTAAATGTAGGCTTATAAGCTATTTTCTCCAAAAATTATTATCTTATTATTTTTTAAAAAATCTAATAAAAAATAAAAATTATAAAGGCATAGTTAGTTAATTTTCAGCAAGTTTTTTTTTCTTTTACCTTATTAAGGAAATGCTAATGTAAATCATATCTTAACCCATTTCTAAATTGCCATTAATCATCCCAATGTTTACAGGTGATTAATGATAAATTCCATTTCATAAAGTGTCTTGCGAGGCATCGACCCGAAAGTCATACAAGTGAGAATTTGGTAAAATAGTATTTGTACAGTACATTTTTGAATCATATAAAAAAATTAACAGGTAATAATATTATAAAAGAAATAGAAAACTAATTTATTTACAAGAAAATATATTATATATATATAACGAGATAAACGTTTATTCATTCAAATGCATTTCTTTAAACCAAGAAAATACCATCTTGGTAGAAATGGCCAACAAACTATTAAATATTCACGAAGCGTGGAACAGAAATCATTTTGTAGATATTCTTTCTATGTTAGGAAATGAAAATTTTATCGCTTCCTATCTTTCTCCTTATAGGTAGGGTGGAGTGAAGGGGAAAAAAAAGGGAAAAAAGGTGCGACTTTCCAAACGACGATTATTCTAATCTAATTATAGTTTTCTCTGATATGGTTAATAATGCATTGTCTCCATTTTGTCGACGCCTAATTGGAAAAGTGGTTAAAAATCGGCGCCACTGCTTTTTCCTTAAAGATCTTTAATTGAGAATTAACTAAAAATTCGTCTAGTTCTAGGTTAAATAATCGACCTAAATGCATTAATATAAATTTCATCTCTAATATCCCACATTTTCATCAAGAAATTTTTAAAATGAGGAAGATTCACATATAAATATAGAGCAAATTATTCTGATTATTCGAACAACTAACTTAATATTCATCAGAATGTAAGATGCAAAGTGAATGGAAAATTAGAAAAAAAAGAGATGCCAACACTGAGTAAGACAACACTTGACTGATGGATGAATGATTGATGGAGAAGAGGCGAAAGATGTATCAAGATGAGGAAATAAGTGAACAGAAACATTTTCTGTCAATATTGAGGGGAATGTCTTATCTTTGACACCAATCAGATAAGAAGAGGCGTTCGAATTATCCCAAAACTCTCATCGTGAATTTTGTCATCAGCATAAAGTAAGAATAAATTAATCACTTATTTAACGACGGAGAAAATTAAGGTGTTATCATCTTTAAAACTTTCAAGTATACTTCTCCATGCAAAAAATTCCAGTTTAATTCAAATCAAACTTCCAAAAACATATAATTTTTTGTGAGTTTTTAAACGATAGTTAACAATTCTATAAAAGAATTTATAAAAACTGTAATTCAAATTACAGTTTAATAATGTTTTCATTCTGTTTCATCATTATTTCTTTGAAATTTTCAATTGCCGTATTGTACGTGGTAAAATTATAACTCAATTGCTAATGCCAGATAATTGAAAATTTCATATTTTCAAAAAATATAACTTATATAATAATAACTGTTATTATAATTATTGATAGATAATGATATTGTTTTAATTAATTCCTTTAATATGTGAAAGTTCATACTGGTTTTCTTTGACTCTATGAGCTGAAACTACTTTTCATTTAGTATTTTAAATAATGTTTTTAGATGATGTACTCTGTTCTTAATGGAAAATGCAAAAATTTCAACCTATTTTAATTATACACTTATGAATTACAGAATCATTTCGTGCAATTCCAAAAGTTTCTTAATATGAAATACTCCAGACCATTAAAGAGGAAAAGTCTAAAGACTTGGAATAGGCCTACAGATATTATCATTAACAATCATTAACCTCTCATGTATCTTTTAATTGTCATCTAATTGTAACCTAACTGTAGTCTCTATCTCTAGCTTAATCTTCACCTGGTGTATTATCTTCATCTATAACTTAATTTATATCTTGAGTTCCCTTGATTTAGTATCTGTAGGTCAATCTTTATTCGTGTTTTCTTAATTTATATCTCATTCATTCTCGCAATTTTTCCGTGTTGTGTTTCTATCAACAGTTGTATTATATTCAAAAAAGCATAAGCATTAACCTAAGACATTTAATAATTTATTTTAAGATATATTATTTTATTTTATAAATTATGCAGATTTAATGCGTAATACCTATGGATATGCAATTTCATTCTATAAAGTTTTATTGTCTTAGATAATCACAGATGTCACGAAATAGTTCTTACAAGAATCTCCCTTTAATAGGTCTCCTTCGCGTGATGTCACGTTCCGCATCACGACAGACGTGGAAATCAGAGGGTGTGTCATCGTCACGTGTTGTAGCATGCGTTGCTTGTCTAATAACAGATCGGATGAATCCGACTCCAGCTTGGATGGGAGGAAATTGGGATATTATTACCGTTCTGGTTGCCAGATTGAAGTTCAAATAACAGGGCTCCACCTCGTGACTAAATCTATTAAGGATTCGTAAATTGTTGATTAGTGATGGTGATTCATAAAAGACACTTATAAGAATCAAAACTTTTCTAATCTTTCATTAAATACATTAATTTAGATTATGCTCGACTTCACTTTTCTATTTATTCTAATTTGCCTCCAACATCTTCATACATAGCATTTATGAAGTTGTCGGATTTTTATAAATAATCAGATCTGCATGTAATCCTTAAAAGCCTTAAATAGTTTATAAAAATCCTTAGGCTTTTCAAGTTACTCTAAGGATTTTTAAAAAATAAAGTATTTTAAGGATTTCTATTCTTGGAAGTTGTTTTAAATGGAAGCTAATATAAATATTAATAAAAATTTGAAATAATAAAATTTATTATTAAAATTTCTGTCATATTAACAAAACACCGAAAACAAAATCAAGTTTAAAACAAATAGTGAGCTAATGTAACGGTATGCCTGTAAAAGTTATCAAATAATTCGAGATAAAGTGCATAAATTTATAGTCTAATTATATGAACTTCGTAATCTTGCATAAATTCCCAATTTAGTCTTTGAAAATTACTGTAAAAAATAATATAGGTTATAAACTTTACAATATTTAAATAACACTGTGGACTAAAATACGAATAATTGAATTTTATAATAGGTTACAGCATCGAATAAAATTCTTGAAAAACAGGATGCAATATAACAACATTATCAATTTATTAATATTTATAAGCTCTATTTTACGTTGTTCTTTAATACATAATGACATCTTAAATCTCTATCTACGTTGTTTATCAAGAAAAAAAATGTATTGTTACGTGAAAATCAAATGCCTTTTAATCATTTGACCTTGTATTGTTATATATTTATATGGATATCGAGAACAGATCGTTTACCTTTTATGGTTCAGCTTGTCATGTCTTTTATGCCACCCACATAAAGTCTAATAAGGTGTATAGAAAACTCTTCGACAACATATGTAAAGAATAATGCCAAATAAGATATTATAATCTTGAATTACTGCAACAATAAATCATCAGAAAACATTTAATAGCTATTCTACCATTTGCAGTTAAAAAATAAAACATTACACAAGGATAAAATCTGCAGGTAGAGATAATTATCACAGAAGGTGTGACTCATCCCATCTGCTGTCTAATCCGGACCAGGTGAATGAATCTGTGAAAAGAGTCAGCTATAGAATTATCTTATTAACTATAATAGTGAATTAATTTACATGCTATTTTTCTGCTTATCAATTTATCATATTTTTTATTGTTACACCTATAATATGCCTGAAGTTAATTTTAATATAACGAGCTTTGTGTGTGGCCAAGAAAAACTAATAGCTAAGAATGGAGTGTAAAGAAGCACCTCTAACATCCAGCTGTAGATGTAAAATTTATAAGAAAAATTATATATATATAAATTTTAAAACAAAAATATTAATGCGTATCTAGAATCATTACAAAATATAGTATGAAATTTTATTTGTTTTTTTTTTTTTTTTAAATTCATTAGACCAGTCAATTATTTTTAAGATACGAAATGTTGAAAAGCTAGATTTAAAATCTTTTTAGTTTAAATGCATTTCAAAATTTTCTTTATCTGATTATAATGATAGGATCTGATATAAGAATGCCAAATAAATCTAAAACTATAAATTACACAGAGGAAGTCTATAAGTCATAAATATATTGCCTACAGCAAACAATTGTTCGTTTAAAATTGCTATACAGAAAGGAACTTCTAATAAACGCATTTATAGTGAATGCTGAGGTTTAGATATTTATCTAAACTACAATAGAATTGTATTATAGTCTTATTTTAAATAAAGTAAAGTATAATGTTTATAAAATGACTTAAACGATAAAATCATTATAAGTTCTAATAATAATCTGTATTAAAGATTTTTAGGTCAGTCAGTCACAAAATTTGTTGCAAACTGAGCTTATTTGTGTTGACATTTTAAGGATTTTCTATACATAAAAGACAAAATCTCATTTCTATCAGAAAATTTCGAATTTCAAAAGAATCGCGAAACATTTTACAATATAAACAAATTTCGATTGAAAACACTTGACTACTCAAGAAGCCAAGTTTATCTTTACAATACAACTGTGGAAACATCTTTCAAACAAATGTCAACAGCCTTTTAAACTTTCTATGAAGTTTCTATTGAAAATAACAAATGCCTAAAAAGGATGTTTTCACTAGTAAAAGCTTCACAAAAGTTTACGCGATAAAAATCCAAAATGTTTCAATCTATTTTAGGAAATGTTCTCAACATTTGTCATTTTTATTCAATTAAAATATCAATTATCATGATTACTCAATTAAAATATTCCTAATGTTAATTGCCCTATATTAACATTCTTATCGTCTAAATGGATTCAATACATGTGCTTCGAGAATGTTAAAAGATCTATTTTATAATCAAGAGAATATAATTATAGATAATTCGAACATACAGTTCTGACAATTGCCTATAATATAACACCCAAGATACATTAGAGAAGTGTAAATGGAATTCTGTAGATCATCTCCAGAGACTGAAATAGTCAAATGTTTATTCACATTGGACTTGCTCCACCCGATGGTCATCATGCGCAATCCAACTATATAGCAGCAAAGTGGAAAATTATGTTGCAGAATAAATATTCTCGCCCCAGAGAGAGATTAGAACTACACCAGAAACGTGATAAGCCTACTTTTAGATACTTCGATTAGAGTAATTCACTTAATGGTGTAACATCGTGACTTGTGAGGTTGTCTAACCATTGAAAGTTAGATTAAAATTGGAATTGATCAACTACTGGTCCCGTTCTTATAATAGCAAAACTTTAAAAAAATATATCTCGAGTCTTTTTCATTATTCAATACTCAAAACAAATTCGTGAGTATCTGTATTGAATTTTGATAAGTTTTTCCAACTATAACGATTCAGAATACAGATTAAAAAAAATAAAATCCCTTCAAATTATTCTGAAAGATCGTATTTAAAAGGAGAAAACTATTTAATTTTTAATATATATTAACTGTTTTTTATGTTTATTTTCAGTGCTAGGTTAAGAAGCTCTATGACAGGACATTTTCTCCCTCTTTTGTCACCAACCCAAGCTGCAACATGACTCTTAAATGATTTAATTCGCGAGTGCAATGGAAGATTATTTGAGTTTCGCACATTTCGGATTCGTACATTCCATCTAGCTGGCCAAAATGTGAATGAAAAAATTAGGTAATAGCCATTTTGACGGAACTATGTAACATAGTAATGTACTTTATATATGTTTAAAAATAAAATTTGTTTTTGAATCTTTTTTAGTATATTCCTTTCCTAATTATATTTGATTTATCTTTTGACTTATCATAATCTTATAATTTTTAAAAATTTTACAGGTAGGATATATTCTGCAATAATTATAATATCCGATAATAACTAAAAGATTGGAAAAAATTTTAATAGAAAGGTTATTTGCGGTAACTTTTTATTTTATGCTTTTGTTTAATGTAAATTATACTTATAACTGTTAATATATGCAAACTTTCGATCGTTTTACACAACCGCATTCCTAAGTATAAATAACTGAATTAAATTAATCCATTATTATGAACTGTACACTAGCCATACAACATTGCCTGCTTTATTTATAAAGCAACGTTATATAAAAATAATTAATAAAATTTATATCAAATATTGACACTTATTTTTCGTCAATTTCTAGAAAACATAATAAAATAAACTTATATGATTAAACAGTAACGAAGTTTTCTTACTCTAGTTCAGATAATTACTCTAGGGAACTTCAATTCTACTAAATTATACAGAAAATGCAATTTATTAATTAGATTTGGACTTATCCTTATCTATCCATCTTGTAATATATCTATATCATAACTAATCCCATAAATCCTAGAATAAAAGATAAGAAGGTCTACTGATAAATTATTTGAATCAAAAAATTTTTAAGTTTCATAAACCTATCGGGTCCTTTACATTATAATTCCATAGTTTAAATTTTGTTATCAAGACCTGAAGCTCAGATAAGAATCTAATTCTAATAAAAATTTTCCTCATAACAAATCATGTTAAAAACAAGACTATTATTAGCCAAATTATGACAAGATAATTATCCATTAATTACTAAGAAGAAGTTTATATATTATATTCTTAATATATATGCATATTAAACCTGTTATTTATAAAGAATTTGTTTTATATTTTCTGTTTGTTAATTAAATTCATACATCCAACGCATGACACCCAATACATGTAATCCAGAAACGTACACCAATGTTGGATCTTTTTAAGACAAATTATGACACTTCTAATGAAAAAAATCTACAGTAGACTGCCTTACCTCATAAAAAAAATCCCCAGTTAAAATGACGAACATTCAACTAGACTGGGTGGGACATTCCTGCTGACAGTAAATTAATTAATGAGTAAGAACGATTAAAGTTGACTACGGACCGCAACTATAATTATCCGGTCAGGTGTTAATTCTGCACCCTGATCTGAAAAAAAAAAAAAAGAATTAGAAAAAAGAAACAACCATTTAATCCATCTTAATTGGATACTGTATATAATCCATGTTGTGTATATTATATAATTTATTAATCTTACATAAAAAACTGATATAATACATTTCCTGATAATGCTAAACTTTATGTTGGTGTGATCTGAATAGAGATATTTCGTTATTTAACTAATAATTATCTTACCTAAACTTCTCAAACATTCCTGAAAAGATTACAGACATTAAGTAAAAAATTATATTATTTTATGGAAATTTAATAATATATTATGGGTATTCTGAATTCTTTCTTTTATTACACAATAATGTATTTTTTATAAAAGAAAAAAAATTACATTACCAAATTATATATATAATTTAATACAGCGGTACCTCGTACTTCGAACGCTTCAGGGTTCGAACGCAAAATTCGAACGATTCGAAGTTCGAACGGCCTCCTG